TTTAAAACCTAAAAAAAGGAAAATTTTAAAAAACACAAAAAAAATTTTTTTTTTTTTTTTTTTTTTTTTTTTAATTCGTGTAACATTTTCAGCTCTAAAGTTTTATTTGACCGACAGGAGAGTGAAAACAATCTCTTCAGGTTGTAATGGTTGAATATTCCTGAACACCTGAGTATGTTTCCATCAAAACATAAAGATCAACTCCAGTTCCTACATTTGTTTTTCTCCCAGACTTTGCTGTAATTGGCTACATACAATAAATAACACATTTTGATGACAAATTGTCTAAGACATTGTTGCTATGCGATTCTCAATTTGAGACCATTTTATTTATTGATAATGGCATAATAATAAATGTTCATCCTCCCAAAAACTAGTAAAATTTTATTTTGTAAAAAACACTCCACACTGGAACAGGAAGACGTTTTGAATGTCCAGAACAAAACTCAGAGATAAAATCCTCACACGGCCAAAGTGGATTATGAAGTTACTCTTTATAAATCCCCAGAATGGGGATGCGATTCATCAATTAATAGTGACTTCATGATGCTGCCACCACCGTGCTTCATCATGGAGTGTTATACTCAGGGACATGTTGATTGTTAGTTTTTGCCACCGATTGCGTTTTGCATCTACAACATGTCCAGTTTAGTTCTGTATTCTCTATAAACTGCTTTGTGTTGCTGTCACATCAAGTCCTGATGAGATAAAGTGTAGTCTGTGGTTATAACCCTCCACAACATGCAGACTTTAAAGCTGAGTCAGCACATTGCTGCAGCCACTAACGAGCGGCCCGCGTTGTGTCCTTGATCCTCCACTCAGAGAGTCCAAGAATCACCCCGAGTTCACTCAGATGGGCCCCGGCCCGCTGGCTGGCGGCCTGACGCCCAGCATGATGACGCCCAGCCTCATGACCCCCAACCTCATGGTCACAGGAGGGGCTGCTCTGGCAGGGGCAGGGCGGTGGCCTCCCGACCCCTCCACCCTGACCTCTCACCCCTGGATGCCCCGGCCCGGAGCCCCTCCAGTCTGGCTCTCCGGCTCTCCATACGGTATGTGATGCAATTTGCTAACTGTTGCAGCAACATTTTCCAAACCTTCAGATGTCCTGTGGCTCCTTTGCACAAAATCAAAATGAGCGTTGAGCTTTAATCCGATTTTGATTTGATGGGTCGTTATGGAGCCTTGAAAAGTGTGGAAACGTGTTGAATTTTCATCCCCATCGTTCATCTGGGAGATTAAAATCCTTCAAAAAGTTTGAGCTTCAATGAGGCGTTTCCGAGGTTTAGAAAGTGCTTGATTTTCAAACTGCACAGTTTGATATTAAAGTTAAATTAAAGGACTAAATTTGGAGGAAAAAAAACACATTTTCTTACACCTAAGAAAACGACACACACTTTTTTCTCACTGTCTGAAGTTAAATCAGATTAAGCTTTTCCTGTTTTAAGTCAGTGAAAATTAGCAGAATCATTTCTATTTGCTAAATGCCACAAAATGTAGCAAAAACATTTTTTAGAGATTTTTTGTGTAACATTTTTTTGCATATCGTGTTTAAGGAGGAAGGTCATTTACAGCAACATGATTTGTTGGGATTGTTTCAATGTAGAGGATGTTTATTATTCCTAATGGCTCAATGACTTACTGATCTTTCTAATTGAAATAAAGGTTGACTTATATATTTTTTTTTACGTTAAAACGTTATTCGATTTTTTTTTTTGCTGTTAAATGAATGTTTTGTTCTCAAACTAATCATGAGACATTTCAAAACATAAAACTTAGTTTTATTTTAATTAACATTATGAATAATAAATGACATCACATAACAGTGAATTCAAAGTTTAAGTTCATTTGTGTTGTTTTATCTCCAAACTTTGAAAATGCGCCTTAAAAATACCTGAAAAGTTTTTTTGTTTTTTTAATCTTCCTGTGGGAGAGGGGTGCGAACCCTGAGCCTGTCATCATGGTCCAAAACGTGCTCTCCATGCTCACAACATGGCTGCCTCTGATTGGTGCATGGGAGGAGGGGGGCGTGGTCAGGCGGTCTGCCCATCAGCAGGCGCTGTGGGTGTTTTTCTGGGGGGGTTGTTGCCTCAGACATTCCTGATCTTTTCTGGACATTCCAGACTCGCTGCTGCTCCTCCATCGTCATCCTGAAATAACAGCACCGGGACGCACAGCCACTTACTTATGTAAGCGTTCGTTCACCATCTGATGGCACTAAACAGAGAGACACATGCTCGCCCAGAGCTCCCTCAGGGGGGTTTCTGTCTAGACTCGGAGGGCTAAAAACAACAAGATGTGCCTCAGAGTGGAGAAGAAAAAAATAAATACTCGCTCAGTTCTTTAAATCAGTTCTTTAAATTCAGTTTGTTTTGTTGTTTCTTCTTCTTTCATTCAGGCCTGGGTCCCTCCCCGCTCCATCAGACCCTCCCCCCGGGCTACCCACCCTCCCTGCCGGGCTCCATGCCTCCTCCCTACCAGTTCGCCAGGGACCCGCAGTCTGGCCAGCTAATCGTCATCCCTACTGAACACCTGCCACATTACGGTACGAAAGCTGCCGCCCGTCTCCGAGAGCGCTCCAGCATATGACGGCGCGATTGCACAACACGCCGGCGGCTCCTGGAATCTGACAGGAGAGCGCCGAGACACGCTGGAAACAAGAAGGTTTTTCCTCCTGGGGCAAAACAAAACGAATATCCCGTAGAAGACTGTTAGATTTCCCACATGTTCGTACTTCTGCCATTTAAACGTGTAAATACTGAACTCGTTCAGGAAATGTTTGGCTTCACATATTGATCAGTTTCATGCTTTTTAAGAAGTTAAGATTTTTATGAAAAAGTTGGGCTTAGAGATGAAAGCAGGAGGCGTTCAAATCGTTCAAACATCTTATGATCTTTTCAAGGAGAACTTGTGGTTCCTGCGAAATCTAGTAAGGAGTCGGGTTTGATTTTAGGATTTTCAAGGGCTTTGTATGGAAAAAGTGAGCAAGGAAAAATGTTTATTTCCAGGCTTTATTTAATTTTTCATCATCTAAATGTTGTTTTCTCCTCTGTGTCCTCTCTTCTTTATGGAGAAGTTCATTCCTCTGTGTATTTATTATCCCTTTTCCCTCCTTTCTCTCTTGTGGCCAGACTCTCTCCCATCCTTGGTCTTCTTTCTTTTTTGAAGAAATCCTTCCTTCATCCTTCCTTACTTTCTTTCTGCCTTCCTTTTCTCTGTCTTCGCTACAACGTATTCCTCCACAGGTTTAACTCTCTTAAACCAATCTTTTCCACCAAAAAGTGGGAAAATTGATCTTCCTTATCTATTTAGTTTTTTTAATGTGTCTTGATTTGAGCTGAACAAGAAAATGTAACATGGTTCTCTAGAGGGAGAGTAAAAATCAGAGCAGGTTCTCCAGGAAGTACTAAATAGATCACAGCATTTTCTTAATTTATGCTCATATTGAACAAACACTTCAGCTAAACTCATTCAGCAGATTGTCTTACCCACTTAGCTTTCAGCATTTGTGCAAATGTCTCTAAAGTTAACAGCGATCGGGCTTCTCAAAGTTTGCCGTGTTTCTCCGTGGCGCAGCAGGAGGCGACGTGCTGGAGCGCGGAGCCCCGGTGTGGCCGAGCGTGTACGGGCCGAGCAGCTCGCTGCAGCACGCGGCGCAGCTGCAGCTGCTCTCCCAGCATCAGATGCTGCGGCAGCAGGAGCTGTTCATGATCCAGCAGCACACGGCGCAGGTCCTGGAGCTGCAGAGGAACGCGCAGATCGTCGTAAGTGCAGCGTGCGTCTGCTTGCAGGAAACGTGCGTCTTTGCGCACCAAAGCGAAGTCTGTGACGGCGCACATACACACACACACATGTCAGAAATGTCTCCTCCGCTCTGTCCCAGGAGCGCCTGAAGGCCAGCGAGCACCGGCCGGAGATCGAAGACAAAGTCGACAAGCGGAACGCCGACCCAAAAACCCGACCCTCCTCCATATCCTCGCCGTCGCCCTCACCTGTGCTGCATCCTCGCAAGCCCCCTCCCCCCTCCCGATCCCCGACGCCGTCCACGTCCTCCCTCACCCCTCTGCCTCCGACCCCCTCCCCGGTGACCACCCTCAAGTCAGAGGAGGGAGGACACAGAGTCCTGTCTCACGCGCCGAAGCTCCTGCCTCACCCGACGTCTCCGCGCTCGGCCTCCCCGCCGCCGTCCTCGCCGCGGCGGCCCAAACAGGAGGAGGGCGAGGCGGGTGTGAGGGAGCAGAGGAAAAAGTCGACCTCTGCATCCTTTGAAGGCATCTACTCTGGTAAGCACCTGTACCGCTGAAACATGGCTGCCAGATATTAGGGAAATGGGTGACGACGTTTTAATGACTTTGACTCCTGGGGACAGTTTGGATTTAAAACAAAAAGAGAAATCTTCTTATGAAACTTGCTTTTGTTTTTAGTTCTTATTCTTATTATATAATTTAAGTCAGATTTCTTAATTGCTTGTGGTGTTGCTGTTCATAGTTTTGCTTATTTTACCAAAACAGGTCTCTCTCTCTCTAGTAAATTAGATTTTGGATCTCAATGAGAAAACTCAAATAAAGGTCATATAAAGAGTCTGAATGCCACAATTTAAGATTTAACCAGTTCAGGTCAAACTGTTAAACCTGGACACGCCTCGGTGAATAACATCTAAACTCGGGTTAATTATTGCTCTGAATATGTTGTTTTTTAGCAAATAGCCTTTTGAGTCTGTATACTCCTGTTAACGATTAATTGATTGCTAAATTAGTCGGCAGTTATTCAGTAAGCGATTCGTCACAATTAATCATGTCAGCCAAAACCCAAACTGGTTTGTTGTTAAAGATCTGACATATTGATGTTAGAAGGATTTATTTAGTTGCAGAGACAAACTTTGCCACTAATAATCAAAGATACGCTAAAGGAATGCTACGTTATTACATTTTAGACAATAAAATGTTTATTTTCTTATCCAAAAAAGGAATTGAATTATTTGTTTACTTGAATCATTTCATGAAATTCTAAAATTGTATGAAAAAAGGCTTAAATGGTTAAATGTAAAAATCAATGAATCGGCAAAAATAATCAGTTAATCGTCAAAGCAATCGATTAATTGTCAGAAATGATCGATTAATCAACCAGTTACTGTAATAATTGTTAGTTGCAGCACTAATCTGACCCTATATAACTTTGACACTAAAATAATCTACAGTAAATGTCAAGCGCCGGCTCTCCCATCTACTTCCTAAAACTCCATAGAAAAGTGAATTCAGATGCATCAAATAAAATATGTACTGTATCTTTAAGTCTTCATAACCTTCTGACCAGATCTGTAGTTTCACAACCAAAACATGAAGAGTTTTCAGGTCTGTAGATGTGCTGATGATGTGATTGTGTTTTGCTTTGCCTCTGTTGCAGACCTGTCTCCACGTTACCCTTACCAATCCATCACTGCGCCGTTCGGATCCTTCCCGCCTTATCACGTCCCGGCATCGGCAGCCGAAAACCCAGAGGCACATCGATCCTGCTCTCCTGCTGCCGCTGATCCTTTAGCTTCGTCTCACCACCACTCCAGGCTTTTGGATGCAGAGATCAAGCCCCAGAGCCTGGAGCCCCCGAAGGCGGGGTCTTTCCTTAAACGGGAGCCCTGCGAGGAGCACCCTCAGCCGGATTTGAGCCGCACCACCGACCGGGCCGCCGAGGATGACGAGGTGGACAGGCAAGCCCCAAAAACTCCCAGTCCTCCCATTCCACCAGGTGAAAACCAGCGAGAAGTGGGGAAGGAAGAAAAGAACGACGGCGAGATTAAAACGGAAACATCGACTAACGCCTGTCAGGCGGTGAAGGCTTCACCTCCCGCTCCTGCAGAAGACGAGCCCAAACCAGAACTTATCCAGGAAGCAGAGCTGGCACCATATCACCAATCCATCTCTGCTGAGTCAGACAATCAAGAAGCGCCTCAGTTGTGCGTGTCATCAGACCAGACGGCCGTGTGCGAACAGGAGCCGCCCGACGATGCATCCGACTCCTTCCCTCCCTGCTTGGAGGAAAGTACCTGCGAACCTCCCGTCCTCATCAGCTCAGAGGACCCCATGGGGGGCATGCTGGCCCTGCTGACGGCCAGCGAGTTGGCCCAAGCCCGGCCCAGAACCCCACCCACCCTGACTCTCGAAGGCCAGGTGGAGGACCCCACCTTTGCCTCCGCCTGCAGCAGCGCCGCCGCTCTGGAGATGGTGGCTCTGGAAGGCATGGCCCTCCTCAGCCAGATGGCTCAAAACGAGGCGGAGCTCGTTTTCCACACGCAAGGTAAGCGGTCGCCATCGACACTCTGAATGTGGAGACGCAACAATCAGTCCACTAGAAAGCAGATGATTTCACTTCATTGGCAGCTCAAATACTTAATAAACTGCTTTATTGCTTTATTTTGGCAAAGAGACCAAATTAACTAACATGTTGTTGAAATTGGCGAGGAAATTGTTTCTGCTAATATAAAACAGGTTAACAGATAAATTTAAACCTTTTGAGCCCACAATTTATTAAACATGCTGGAATAACAATAATATAAAAAGTCAAAGTATTTACAGGGTGTCTTTAAATGTTTTAAATTTTACAAATAAGGCATTTGTAAAATGCCTTATTTTACAAATAAAATAAGGCATAAATTTGTCACAATATTTGTAAATTGGCCTTAAATACGTTAATCATAGTGCTTAAATTTTCATGTGACATGACTTTTTAATCTCATATTCTATGTAGTTTATTTTTTGTGAGACTTTCTTGTCAGGCAAAATCTTGAGTCACACGCAGACGTCTTCGTTACATTCTGGGACTCAATGCGTTTGATGTTGCCGCTAATTAGCTGCTAACATAAACTCGCAAGCTAGCTAGCTTCTTTGAGTCCATCATTGGTCAGTGTACATTTTTTGGCTCAACAATGTTTGTCTTTGCCACCGGCTCATTTTTCCAACCCATTCAATGATGCGTCATTGTGGGCATAAAAGCTTGGCAATGCTGTATAAAATATGCAATTTTCTTTTGTGTATTTTGTCATGATGCAGGTCTTAAATTTCATCCATAATGGTCTTAAAATGTCTTACATTTTAATTGGTGAAACCTGTGGAAACTAGTTTAAATTATGTATTTGAACATGTTTTAAATCGACCAGGAAGAAACCTGGTCGGTTCATCTCAACGTCATTCTGTCGGGTTTCTTCTTCTCTTCCTCTAATATTCCAATGTTGTGTGCTTTTTCCTCCCAGATCTCACATTAGACAGTCTGGACTGTCTTCTTGAAGCGAGCAGACACGTTCTACTGGAGGCAATAGAAAAGCAGTCCCACATCGATCTGCCAAGAACTCTGGACCCCGACAAGAAGTACAGCTGGAGGCAGAGGAAGGAAGAGCCGGTAAGACGAAGAATCAGGAATGCGAGTCGGTCAACGAAGCCTCGGCGGCGGGACCCTCATGTTTGCCTCTTGTGTTTCGCTGCAGCTGTACAGCAAGATGGCGGTGGACATGCTGGATGCCGTGGAGGTGGAATACCGCGTCCGCCTGGCCGAGTTGCAGAAGACGTACAAGGAGAAGCAAAGGGAGATGAGCAAACTGCAGCGGCGCAGGGACAAGAGGTCAGCGCTTATGCTAAGAGAACCTTAAGACGAATTAATCACGGTGCTTGACACCCTGCGCCGTAACTTAGATCTAACTTTCTTCTGGTCAACGTCAGAGAGAGGCAGCAGCAGGAGGATGAGAGGAGGAGTCTGACCAGGCGTGGCAGAGGAAGACCCAGGAAAAGGAAACATCTGCCCACACCTACCAAACAGGACAGCAGGCCTGGAAAGTGAGGGGGTTCACTTTTTTTTTTACATTTCACTCAGTTACACCATTTTTGCTGCTTGCTTGAAAGTGTGTATCCGTCTGCCAGGGCGGGTCGAACAGTGCAATACTCTGAGGACTCTGAAGCCGGGGATGGACAGAGGAAGAGGTTCCGACTGTCCAGAGACAACGAGGACACAGAAACCGGAACTGGAGGAGAGAAGAAGAAGAAAAGGAAGAAGAAGAGCTGGAACGACCAGGAGCCGTCCAGCGCTCACGTTCTCGAGGTAGGTCACCCGAGATTCAGCAGAGTCTGCGGAGCATTGTTCTGGTTAGTGACCCATCTGGTGGCGTTTGTAGGTCATGAAAGCGAAGCGCGGTCACCTGTGTGAGCAGGAGCAGCTGGCCTCCGACCTCGACAGGGCGCTGTCGCTCTCGCAGCTCGGCTCCCTCGGTGGCCCTCGCAAGCTCGCCTCAGGCTCCAGGTCGGACAAGTCAAAGGGCCGATGCTCGGAAAGCGGGCTGAAGGAGCGAGGCGCTCACTCCTCCGTCAAAGCCGGGAAGCTCAAGATGGCCGCCAAAGCTTCAGCTGCCGAGACCGTCCGAAAGGTGAAAGGTCAGAAGAAGTCCATGTTTTCTCCGGTGAGATCGGAGATCAGCAGCTGCTCCAACAGTGAGTACCTGGAGAGGAAGCAGATGTGGTTGATTCACAAAATGTCTTCTGCAGAGATGCCTGGATTTAACGGCGCTTTGATGGCACGTTTTCTCACGCTGCAGACAAACTTCACTGATGATGATAGAACGGGGTTACAGGGGCAGGAGCCCAGGGCCCAAAGAAAACTGAGCATGTTTTACAAATATTACACCTTATATTAAAGTCATGGGCTCATTTCGGATGTTATTTAATTTTTTTTATGAATATTTATAAATTGAAAATACACTCATATTTGAAATTATCTTTATGGGACCAATATGGACATTTTAAACTGACCGTCCATCAAAAAATGTGTAGGTCTAGAATAGGGCACTAAACTGACTCCAGCCCAGGGGCCCTTATCATTCTAGATCCAGCCCTGCCAACACAGTGATGCATCAAAAACCGTAGACTTGATGAGGTTAATATCTAGTTTCTATCGACTTTATCAAGTCTTCTTATTGAGCGTTTTGTTAGTCCTTCATCCAAGCGATGTGTTTTTAGTCAAGCAGGCTTTACGTATGACTTTATTTTATTTTTACCTTCTCGGCCTCACGGATCGTTAACCGCACTCTCTCTGCCCCAGATTCAGACTCGGAGGAGCTCGTCTCTTCTCGAGGGGGCTGGGCTCTTCACTCGGGGACGCGTCCCCACGACGGCTTGTCCAGAAAGAGGCGCTCTGCGGCGTCGCCCACCTCCCTGCTGCCCAGCCAGAAATCGTCGAGGAAGAAACACAAGCACTTGTCCCTGCTGCTGGAGGAGGCGGGCCTCAGCTCCTCCTCCGACGACTCCTTCGACCAAGGTTACTGACCAAATCTTACAGCTTCACTGCCGAGTCAAGCGGTTGTGTGTCTGTGAGGCTAAGCTAGCTCCTGTCAGACTGTGCGTTAGCTGCACCATCCCTACCTCTCTCGCTGCTGGCTTTTTCCTGCAAAAGTTAGTTTTTTTTTACTTTGTTTTGCTTTTTCTGAAGAGTTTACCTATTTCTATGGAGATTTTTTATTGCCATAAGTGTTTTCTTTTGTAGCATTTGTACAAATCATGTGAATTGTGAGATCTTTTTTTTTTCCTCCCACAAAACTTGTATCGCAAGTTTGATATTTCTAAGCTTTATTAAAGGTGTTGATTTGATTGGTACAGATTGCAAAGTGCTGTGGTCCTTGTGTCCGCTTCATCTTGTTGTGTCTGTCTGTCCGGCTGCCACTGCACCTCACACATCCGTTAGAAGGCTCCATTTGTCAAATATCCCTTCGCTTCTCGAAGATTCGCTTGGAGAGCACGTCAGGAAGTTGAGCGTAGCGCTAGCTTAATTCCTGGGTTTTTCTTTTTGTCACCATAAGGCAGATTAGTGATACTTTCTGTTAAATGTTTCCAGGTGATGTGAACAGGGTTGAGATTTGAGGGATATTTGGACAATCGAGCTCCTCCTGTGTGTCTACTAAACCTTCAAATAACCCTTTTCCCTGCTCTCTCTCAGACACCTTGCTCTGTCCTCTCACTGTCCCCCTCTCATCCTTGACCCCCCGACCCCCACTTTATTTCCCTTCCCATGATGCTTTGAGTGTCTCTCAGCCTGTTCCATGTGCTTGTGCTGCCGCCGCTGCAACTTTACAGAGGCTTGGCCAGGACTAGCGCGGCCTTGAGCCTACACTACCTCGCTACGGCGACCCTACGCTGTGGCTAAGGCTTTGCTTTTAAAGCTAGTCTGCGCTAAGGCTCGGCCGCGCTCCCATCGCTGCCCCGCCCCGCCCTGCCTGAGGCCACACCCCTGTCGCCTGCTCTGTAAGTAGGAAGTGCCCCTCCCTCCATTTTTTTCATTGATTTTATTTATTGAACACTAACATGACGTGCGGAAATTGAGCTACATTCACAGAACTTTAACTTTTATCTTGTTTTTTTGGGGGGTTTTTTGTTTATTTTCTCGCGAATTTGAAGCTTTCCAAAGGTAGCCATGGTTACTTACCCACACTTCCCCAACGCTGACTCCTCTTGACTTAAAAGTTTAAAGGAGGGGCGTTACGTGTTGGAACGGAGGACGGTAACCATGGTGGCTCAAATCACATAGGAGCGTATTATTACCAAAGGGGCCTCACAGGGCTGTCCTCTCAGTGCCTGCTTGTTGCAAACGCCTGTCTGCTACCGTTGACACACTGTGGATTCACAGTACAGCAAAATTGGGCAATTTGCTCGAAAATAATGTAGTTGCCAAAAAAAAGAAAAATTCATACTGCTTGACTTTTTTATTTACATTTTGTCTTGTTGCAACCCACAAAATTCAATGTATTGATATGTAAATGTATAGACCAATACAAAGGAGCTCCTAACTGACTGAAATAAAAATTTCGACACACAAAAAATGAGTCTATGCTCGTGATACATGGTGGGGGAAGCATCATGCTGTGGGAAATTTTCTTAGCCACGCTAAGAAAAATGTAAAAAAAAATTGTAATATTAAGACTCATTATAACTTTATTCTCGTAATACTATTTGATGCTATGACTTCCTTCTCATACAAGCTTATTCTCATAATATTTTATTAGTACAACTTTATTTTAATTTTTTTTTTTTACCATGGCCCTAATATGTTGTTGTAATGCAAAACTGAAGTTGAATGTTTTTTCTTTTTTTTCTCTCTCTTTTAGAAATCAAAATCTGAAAATTGTTTATAGTCCAACTTTGCATTTTGGGTCTTTTATTTCGTAAAACTATATTTCACTGCAGCTACCAGAGTCTGACATTTGCACCCCGTTTTCTTTGCGTAATATCTGAAGCGCTCAGTCAAATTGATCAACGTTTAATTCTTGAACCACATTTTCAATTACACTCAGGTCTGGACTTTGACTGGGCCAATCCTAACATGCTATGAACTTAACTGTTCCAGTATAACTCTGGTTCTATGTTTATGGTTATTGTCCAGCTTGACAGCGTAACCTTCCATCTTCCCATCAACACTAACTAGTCCCTGCTGAGTAGAGCATCCCCACAGCATGATACTATCACCGCCATGCTTCACCATGGCGATGGTGTTTTGGTTTTATGTGACCAGAGGAATTACCACATAACAAACTAAATTCATTCAACGATGGTTTCATTATGACTATGATTTGATAGTCCATAACTAACAAATACTTTACATATTTAGATTGTTTAAGATTTGTAAAGCTTGGGGCTCCATGTGATGGTCTGTCGCATAAAATCTCAATAAAGTCATTTGATTTTTGTGGTTGTAACGGCGGGGAAATGTGTAAAAGGTGCATTCAGGGAGCATGAATAGATTTCAAAGTGTTTCATTTTAAACTGTAGTGAGAAAAAGAAGGAAAGAAAAATCCTGTTCAGAAACGGTTTTCCCAGTCTGCTCTGTGTTAATAATGCAACATTAAGCCTTCATGTACTGTGCATCCACCCTCACTGTTAACTCTCTAACCCCTGAGGAGAAGCTCCTCCTGCTCATCTGCTGCTCTGGACCTAACCGCTAACTTCCAGCAACACACAGCCTAACCAGCAGAATGCCACAGTGTGTGTCCGTCTCTGCCTCTCTCTGTGCTCTGCCGGGTTTGTCGGACTTTAAAAATGGAGGGTTTTTATTTTTCCTCCTTCACCCTCATTAATACAAAATCTCCAAGGCCAGGCTTTCGACTCACCTCCTACCCCCTCACACCCCCCCAGTCTTTGCAGATGTGTGTCTGGTTGTGTTGCTCACGCCTCGTGCATGGTGGTGGTTTTTCTCCAAGCTCTGTGTTTCTGTGCAGCTTTACGGCGTGAAGGGAGGCTGCAGTGCGTTTGGACCTTGTATCTTCACCTTCAGGAGTGTGTGTGTGTGTGTGTGAGAGAGAGAGTGACTTCATAGATGCATTGTTCTTGAGATCGCACCTAGTTTAGTTTAGTATATTCTCTGCATTTCGTAGTCTTTAGAAACAACACGAAGTGAGAGATGAATCCCAGACGGATGCTGCGAGCCGTCTCCATGCCTGCGCTCACAGCTTTCTCTCTCCCACACAGAGACCTCAGAGGATGAAGAAGAGGACGAGTCGGATTCGGACGACGATGAGGACGATGGCGGCTGTGAGGAGAGCGGACTGGGTCTGCTGGCCAGGTTTGCAGCCAGCGCCCTCCCCGTCAGCCCGCCCCCATTGAGCCTCCTCCATGACGGGAAACACTGCAGCAACAGGCAGAGCACGCTGGGTAAACCCAAACACACACAAACGATCCGAGTTCTGACTCGGATAAGTTCTAGATCAGCATTCCTAATTGGATGATTTCTTTCAGATTTACTGTACCGTTAAAAACTGTAAACTTCTGTGTGTTTCGGGGGGATTTTATGTAGCAGACCGGTGGCTCCTAAAAACTTTGACCTAAAAAATCTTCTAGCTTAAACAGTTTTACAAGACTTTTTTAATACAATACATGCACAAATAATGGAATAAGGTTATTACTTCCAAACTGTGTGCTTTATTGACATCATATTCCATTAAAAATTGAATGTTCAAGTGAAGAACATATATTAAATCTTTTACTTATATGCAAGAGTAGAGATGCACCAATATGAATATTTGGGCCAATCTCGATATCTGATATTAATATCACTATTAAGGCAAATAACCAATATTTACCAGTATTGTAAATGTTATATATAACTACTCTTTCAACAACTTGACAAAAGCATTCACATCGCCGACTTCACTAATGGTTCTCTGCTTTAGTTAAACTACCCACAATCCTTTGCTGCTTCTCTATCACTTTCACACGTCAAACCTCCTCCCCTTCATAAATAAACAGCAGCAAGATGAAAATAAATATCGGTTGTTAATATTCTGCCAAGTTTATATTTATTGGGCCAATGCCAACATGTTAAACAATGACTAATACCGATACCAATATTAGTGCCAACATATTGTGCATCCTTATGTAAAAGTGTAACAACGTTTTACATTTTAAATACATATAGAAATTGTATATGTAGAAACCAATAAGCTAATTTGTTCCATGTTGTTTTTGTGGCATTAAACAAATTTTGCTGAACTCTTTTTTATGTTTTGGATCTTAAAGAATTTATAGATTTCATAAAAAATATTGTTCAGCAAGTAAAACATTTTTCGTTTTAAATTTAATAAATTTCATGGCCTGTGAGTAGTTTATATTTGCAAATTTAAGCAGAGCTATATTTGAAATGTGCAGGTCAAAGAATGGCCCAGTCAAAGTCCAGGCCTAAAACCAACTGAGAATGCTTTCCATCACATTTTCTCCATCAGGTTCGCCAGAGCGTGAGTGGTCCGATTCCGGCTCGGACTTGAGGCAGAGGAAGTTCCCCTCCCTCCTGCACGGGCGGCGCTCCGCCCCTGAGCTGCCCCTCCTGCCGCCGGCGACCCGCCGAGGCGACCAGCCCAGCCCCACCAAGCGAGACGAAGCGCTGCCGGCCAAGCGAAAGCCTCTGACGAAAGCCCGCCCCTCGCCTCGATCTCCGCGGAGATTCAGCTTCGACCTCTCCGCCGGCGTCGGGGGCTTCAGCGAGGACGAGGGCTGGAACCGGCGGCGCAGCGAACGGATCTTCCTCCACGACGCCAGTCAGATGTCCGTGTCGACGTCTTCCTCCACCAGCCAGAGCTCCTCGTCCTCCACCTCAGCTCCGCCTCTCACCCCGAAGCCGTCCTCCAAACCAAAAACCACTCCGGTGGTCCGAGAGGGAAAAGACGTGATAAAAGTACGTCAGTTGTTTCTCAACCGCTATGAATTGGTGCAGAAAAGCTTCTGTGGCTGTTTTTAGTCCAGTGGAATCAGTTCAATTTATGAACAAGATTTAATTTTCAGCATTTTCAGCTGGTGAAACTTTCACACTGCACTGTGTCAAACGAGTCAAACCGTTTGAAAATCCTCTTCAGCGCCTCGCCTCTAGTGGCGCTGAACCCAGAGCAGCTGAAGGAAGCTGCACAGAAACCTCTGAAGACACTGAGCGCAGCTTCCTTTTTCACAAAATGTAAACAAGAGGATGGAGTAGCATCAGATTTTAGCAGTTGAAGAGTTTCTCTTTTGTCTTTGGTGAAAGATCACGAGCCGTTTCTCCGTCCAGTGCTAGACTCGTTTGTTTAGGTTATTTTTACCCAGAATGCTCTGCACTGTAGTCACCATCCACATATTCATTCGAACCCCATCAGAGTTCACTTCAACTGAGACCCAGCTGTTCAGGCAGACCAGAGCTCACCTCTTTTGACCCACATCAGGGTTGGAGGCAAACTGTAATGCATGGCATTCTGGGTAAATACGACGCGTGTGTCCAGTGCCAGCGGGAGAAATGACTTGTAGTCTTTTTTTCAACGACAAAAGTGAAATCCTACTACCGCTAAAATCTGATGCTACTCCATTTTTGTTTCCATTTTGTGAAGAAGGAAGTTGCGCTTGTGTCTTCTTCAGAGGGTTTGGTGTTGTTTCCTTCAGGGAAACGGGTTTTTAAAGAGTTTGGATCGTTTGACCCAGTTCAGTGGGAAAGCAAACCGCAGCAGCTGAAAACGTAGCAAATGCTGCAACTTTGTTCCCTAGTTGAAGCGAGTTTACCGGACCGTCAGGTGTGAAAACACCTGGCTGAATAAAACAAGTCGTCTTCTCCTTCATCTTCCCCGTCTTTCCCCCCAGCCTCAAACTCTGCATCCGTTTCTCCTCTCTTGACATTTTTCTGAGTGAGCGTGTCGGAGTGCCAGCTGGGTTTCTCTGTGCTCCAGCTCTCTCCTGCTGTCTGCGTCGTGTTGTTGACGAGAGAGGACAACTGCAGGCGGTCTGGGAACTTTGCACCCTCAGTCTGCGTGTTAAGATGGAAATCTGTCCAGAAGACCCTAGCTGCTGTTTTTCTATTCAGACACATTCCTCATTTCTTTACGTTTCCTCTCTTCAAACAGAAAAAGAAGCAGAAGGATTCTTCTGTGCCGGTCAGCCCGTCCACTTTGTGCAGTCCGGTCTCTGATGGGCCAGCGCCTCTAAGCCCGGCGCATAAAAGCCAATCTAAAGGCAAAAACAAAGCAAGAGAGGTCAGTAAGGCGGGGGGGATTTGTTGCTACACTGCAAAAATATAAATCTTGCCAAATATTTTTTTGTCTAGTTTTTACTGCAAACATCTTAGTACACTTGAAATAAAACAAAACTAGCTCAGCAGTAGCGTTTCAGCAAGATGTAGGATATTTTTAAGTCAATACTTTTGTAATATTGATGAAAAATTGCTGGTTCCACTGGCAGTTTATTTCACTTCTTTTTTTTTTAATCAATCAGGAATTATTGATTTAAAACAAGCCCCTATTTCTTGGTGAAATGTTACTTATAAGCTTTTTCAAATGTGCTAAGATATTTACTCTGGAAACTGGGCCTGGTAAGACTTTCTGTTTTTACGGCGCATTCAGATCGTAATTTGTGCAGCAGAAAATGTTGCTGCAATTTGACGTGGGCTATTTTGTCCTGAGCTGAAACGGTTGCTTTTCTTCTTCACCTTGAGTGTATTGTCTGTGGGTTTTTCCGAATGCTAACGAATCACCGGGGTCTCCTCGCAGCCGTCCAGGGGCGCCGTGAGCCGGCTGATGGAGAGCATGGCGGCGGACGAAGACTTCGAGCCGAACCAGGACAGCAGCTTCAGCGAAGACGAGCTCCTCCCGCCACGAAAAAACAGCAGCGTCTCCGAGAGGTCGTCCACACCCGGTCAGCATCCGCGCAAACACACGCCGTCCGCTGCCGGAGCGAGAGGAGAAAAGCGCGCTAACGCTAACGGCTGCTTTGTTTTTGCCGTGTTCAGCTCCGGTGCAGTGCGTGTTGGATAAGGACTCCCTGGTGGACGGACTCAGAGTTCTGATCCCGATGGACGACCAGCTTCTCTACGCAGGACACGTCAACACAGTGCACTCCCCTGACATGTGAGTGCAGCTGAAGGCTCTGAACAGATGCACCTGGTGTATCTGTTGAACTCTTCTGGTCTTCATCCCGTTAAAGTCGCTGATTGCAGTATTTCTGTGGATATTTTGTGAAAGATTTTGGGTAGTCAACACTAAAAGTACAGATAAAAATCTCACCAGTGTTGTGTTTCACCTCCAAGTCAATAATTTCAACTTTCACAGCACATTCTCATTAGGTCTTGAATTTGACTTGACCATTCTAGATTATTATATTCCCACAGCATAATGCTGCCACTTCCATGTTTCACCACAGGGATGATGCGTTTAATTTGATGGACTCCATTAATTATCTGACTGCTCCAATAAACACTGGCGTTTATTTAAAGGCGCAGGAGTAAATGGGAGCTGAAAAAAGATGCACACCACACTTCAGATTTCTGTTTGTAAGAATCTCAAAACCGTTCAGTTTAAAATTATGCACAACTTTATGTTTGCCTGTCACTTAAAATGACAGTAAAATTCAGACTTTTTTTGGTTGTGACATAAAAACATGTGCAAGGTGAGTAAATATTTTTGCAATTTTAACTCGTATCAGGATTTTCCTTCCATTTAACTTTTTTTTTTTGATAACTTTAGATTCACTTCTTACGGTGGAAGCTGCTGCTTTTCACTGCTTTTCAGTCCAAGTTGAAGTAACAAGATGGCAGTCGAAACAAAAAACGACACCCTTCCGTAGCTGGTTCCCATCAGGGCAGTCAGAACCGAGATAAAGATTAAAAATCAGATTAAATAATTAAAATCCACAGCCACTGCACAGTTACCCCAACACCTCTGACCCCTTTCCTTCTTTTTTCCTCTCCTCCTGTCTGCAGATACAGCGTGGTGGTGGAGGGGGAGCGAGGCAACCGACCACACATCTACTGCTTGGAACAGCTGCTGCAGGAAGCTGTGAGTAAACCGCGGCTCTCTCTCATACGTCCGTCTGCTCCTCCACGCCGCTTCGAGGAGGTGGAGACGTGAAGAGTGTCGAACAAATGGGGAAAAATCTGTCGAAATCTCTCGCGTTTTCCAGATAATCGACGTAAAGCCTCCGTCCGTGCGCTACCTCCCAGAGGGCACCCGGATCGCCGCCTACTGGAGCCAGCAGTACCGTTGCCTTTACCCGGGAACCGTTGTCAACGGTGCGACCGCGGCGTTTCCTCTGCATGCATCAGTTGATGCTTCTTTATTAAACATGGCGGCAGCGATTCAGAAGATGATTTAACTTCTTTTTTTTTATCACCACTCCTCCCAAACAGGAAGCTCAGACATAGACGAGAACGACGATCTGATCACAGTTGAGTTTGACGACGGCGACACAGGACGCATCCCGCTCTCCCACATCAGGCTGCTGCCGCCGGACTACAAGATCCACTGTGAGCAAACACACAAAGCAGGTTCTTCCTCATCAAGGAAACCAACAGCAGGAATCACAAATGTGCTCCATAAGCTCAAACAAACTTGTCTCTCACAGCATTTTTTTTATTTATTTTACCTTCATTTCCCAGTAGATAACACTCAATACCCAGATATTCAAATGCAACTCTGATCTTTCTGCTTGTGTCTGCATGTGCGTTTTTCTCAAAGCCGTACCTGCCTGAGATTTTTAAATAAATAAAATGAGTTCACAGGATAATACTGAAACATTTGGGTTCATCTCTGTTGTTGGTTTCTGCACATCAGAGGCTGAATTACTGTCTTACATTTTCAAAGCAACGTGCTTCCAGCAGGTTTTCATGATGGAACAAAATTTCCCAAAACAGCCAAACGTATCGATTCAGTCAGGAGTTTGTAGATTGAAACACGAGCTGCTCACTGCAAAAACACAAAATATTACAAAGACATTTTTCCCAATGTGTAAGTGAAATAATGTCAGTGGAGCTAGTACTTTTTCATCATTATTAAGGAACCATTTACTTAAATCAATCTCCTATTTCTTGCTGAAAAGCCATTTTTAAGTTAGGTGTGCTTACATATTTGCACTAGAAACCAGACCAAAAATAGTTGATATGATTTTTTTTTTTTTTTGTTTCTTCTTGCAAACAATTAAAGTTTCTGTTCAAATATAAGGAGGGCACAGTTTGCGTTTTTGGAGTCAGAAGGAGAAATGGTTTTATTTTTGTTGTTTCTCAGGCGCAGAGCCGTCCCCTGCGCTGCTCGTGTCCGGCCCGTCCAGGAGGAGAGTGCGCAAATGCAGCAAGGAGGCGGGAGCAAAGCCAGAGGAGACCACACCCAGGATCAAAGGGAAACCGGGTCGCAAGCCAAAACCCAAACCAGGTAAAACCTGCTCTGTGACGTCACATGTAGCTTAGACAGCAAGGCCACCAGGGGAGTAAATGGTCTCTACAAAACGACGTTTAGCGTTAGCATTTCTCATGAATGTTAACATGAGGGAGGAGAAGGCGAGCCTAAAAACACTGATGTTTGACTTGAATGTTTTCAGCTTGATTGGCCTTTACTGGTGTTTCCATGGAGATTTGGTTGGTGGACACACCAGGCCACACTGACAACACTCTTCAGTGTGGATGTTGTTACTGATTGAAGAAAACCAGTGAGGCGTTTAAAAGAAAAAAGAAGTTGGAGGAAACGCATAGAAATGTTGTTTTGGGGGTTTATAACACACTAAAGCAGATTTTAAGTGTCAATTCAATCTTTTTCTTTTAAAATCCCCTTTTTCTTACTCAAAGTGTGACATTGCGTCTTCATCACTCAGCGGGATTGACGGAGAAAAACCCAGAATGTTTTGATATTGAGAAAAAACTGAATCAGCTAAAATGATTCGTTTGTGAAATCGGTCACAAAGCTCTGGCTTGTGCAGTGCTTGCACATTTTTTCTCCATTACATTGCTCTTAAATAATCCCCAAACTCCATATCAAATGTTAGTGCAGTGAAACAATTCAAAAAAGTGAAGAAGAGACGTCGTATATCTGCATTAACCCTTTCATGTACAGTGGACAACTGTCTAAAGGTCATTTTCTTCTGCTTCTTGTGGATTTTTATGTTATAAATGCACACAGACAACTGAAGTGGACACTAATGCAAGAAATTATTTTTGTTAAATCCAATATGGCCGACAGACAAAAAAGCATGCCAACCGACCGGTCCCTCCTTTCACTGTAGACGACTCTTGCAGGTAAAAAATATTGTGACATCAGATAATCCCTAAAGAACAAAACTACTGATGTATTTTTCAAATAACAACTTTGTATTTGGAGAAAATTACAATTGATCACCTAAAATAAAATGAAAAAATATTTTCTTTTACAAATTTTTTTCCCTACCTTTTTTTTATGCCTTAAGAAAATCAAAAATAATTTGGAAAACAAAATCCTGTCACATAGGATCATAATTCATGCATGAAAGGGTTAATATATCTGTATTGATCCTCAGAGTAAAACTGGGCCAGAATTAACAATCGATGTCCAGCCATCTGTTCACACACTGAAGTCGGTAGAGGAACTCCATGAAACAAGAACCAGACATGTTATTTTGGATTCTGGACCACCCACTGGAGTGCCTTATTTACCCATTCACAACTCTGTTATTTTGTATATAGAAAACAAAACAATAGAAAACTCTGACTGTCCGTTTGAGCCATTTGTCGCGAGCTGGAGCCAATGTGACTTGTGAGTGTCAGACGTCCCATATTTTAGCCCGTCTGTCTGTCGCCTTTGATTTCACTTTACTCTTGCTTTGTTGTCGTGTGAGGCTCAAAGTCTAAACCAGGAGCTGTAATCTGTGACACATTGCTTGTACAAATTTGCTGACCCTGGCTGTTATTTGGCCGGGTAAGCACTTCTGCAATGTAATGTTTTCATTTCAGAGATGGTTTCTTGCTGATTTGTCCTCCCTGAACTGTTGAGGAAAGAAAAAAAACAAAAACTCATGATGCCACAGAATGAAAATGTCAGCACATCCAACAGACAGCGCCGTTCAGCCTTTTTCACATTTTAACACATCACAACCACAAATTGCTATGTTATCTCTATGTATTTATGGATTAGAGCAACAAGGATGAGCTCGTAATAGCGAAGCGGCACGGGGGAAAAAAATGATACGGCCTACATGCAAAACACAATCTGCTGTTTAAAACTTACACTGCTCACAAAATCCTTCCAAGAGTTGCAAATGGCTGCACTTTGGACACCCCTGTTCTACAAAGCATTGGCACAGAGGGACTAAATGCAAAGGGATATCACAATATTACAGATTTGTACTTGTAAGTTAATTTTAAAAACTTGCTACGTTTTCCTTCCACTTCAGAAATATGCATTATAACATGCAGATATATCTGTAGGACACTATAAAATATGACATCGTATTAGGGCCAGGCTAAGAAAAGAAAAATGAAATCATGGGAATAAAGTCATTAGGAGGAAAAAAGTCATAATGCAAGACAAAAGTTGTACAAGTCATATGATGAGAATAAAGTCAGTCATCACAATGGTACAAGGAAAAGTCGCAATAATATGAGAAGTCGTAATATTGCAAGGAAAAATTTATACGAGAATTAAGTCCTAATATTACGAGAAAAGTTGATAAAAAATTAAGGTCATCATATTATGAGAATTAAATCATTCAATCATAAAGTACGAGAAAAAAAAACGGACTACCCGAAAAGTCATAATAATACGAGAAAAATGTATGACAGTGCAATCAAAAAATGAGAATAAAGTTTTAATAGAATGAAGAAGTAATTCTAAGACTAAAATGAGGAACGTTGAGCATCTTGTGAAGTTTCACTTTGGTATCAGTTACAAATTGGACATACTTTATCTTTTAACAATCAAATGATCAGTTCCTGTAATTTTACAACTTTCTTCTGGTATTTTTGTGTTTTTATCCTGATGATATTATAACTTTAGCTCTAGTAACTTAAAAAAAAGTCATAAAAATCAGTGTTTGGCTGTCAGAAAAAGAAAATCAAAAATCCCCCTTTTCTTTCCACTTCTCAGACGCCTCTATAAATCAAGACGGTCGGGAGAAAGCCGACCCTCTCCCCTCCTCCGCCCAGTCCACCGAGAGACCTCCAGCTCCAGCAAAACCGGCCCAGGACAGAACCTCCTCTGTCCAGAAACCTGCTCAGGAAAAGCCCCGCCCTGCATCCCGACCCACCATGGCCACGCCAGCCAAACCCGACCGGAAAAACTCTGGTGCTTCCTCGGCGAGCAGCCCCACTCTCCCCAGTCCGGTGCCCCGGAAGAGTGGCTCGGCCCAGTCTCCCGTCTCCAAGCCGACCCGGGTCCTCCCCTCTTCTCTCTATCCCTCCACGTATGGGAAGGTTCTGACGGTGGATCTGTACAGCGAGCCCAACTTGACCTCTTACACCAACCAGCGGCGAGACAGAGAGAGCAGCAGCTCCGTCAGCCCCACCACCAGCCGGCCGAGGCATTCCATCACCGTTTCCTCCTCTGCACCCAAACCCGCCGCTACGTCCACGCCCAGACCCGCCTCCGTCTCCTCGTCCAAAATGAAATCGGACCATCAGAGCAGATCCGGCCTCGGCTCTGGTCTGATCCCCAGCCCCATCTCCAGGCTGCCGACCAGCAAACCCAGTTCGTCGCTGACCCCCAGACCGTCGTCAGCGTCACTGACGCCAGCTGGCACGCCCAAACCCAAGCTGAAGATCCCATCATCTTCAGACCAGATTTCCTCCAGAGCCATGTCCAGGCCCAAGCCCGTCTCCGGACAGAGGAAGTCCTTGTCCGCAGAGCCCCTCGTCAAGCTGGACCACGAAGGCGTCACTTCCCCGAAAACCAAAAAGACCAAGGCTTTGATGTTGTTAGAGGGCCGCGACATCAGTCGAGACCACCCCCCTATCGCCACTTCCTCGGCCAACCAGAAGCTACTGAAGGCGAAGATGAGAGGCCCAGAGAGGGCGACCAGTCTGCCTGAGAAGGAGTCTGCCTACAAGACCTCCATCCTGGCCAAGGACCAGCTGGAGAGTCGGGGGAGTGGAGGCAGAGGACAGGAGGTGAACACTAGAGACGAGAAGGCCAAAAAAGAGGAACGAAAGGAGCTGGAGAAGAGGGAGGAGAGGAAGATGAAGGAGGAGTCTCAGAGTAGCAGCAGCTCCGAGTCAGAGGAAGAAGGCCAAAACGGGAAGGTGAAGAAGAAGAAGAAGAAATGCACCTCTAGCTGCTCGTCCTCTTCTTCGTCCTGTTCTGGCTCCTCGTCATCCTCGTCTTCTTCGTCGTCCTCGTCATCCTCGTCGTCGACTGATGACTCGTCCTGCAGCTCAGATGAGGAGAGGACCCATACGCCGCCGCCTGGACCCCTCCAGAAAACTCCTACACAGGACAAACCTAAAGACAACATCAAAGAGGAGGAGGAGGAGACGAAAGAAGAGGTGGAAATCAAAATGGAGGAGGAAGAGTTATCTCCTCACTCAGACTCTCCCTCCCCATCAAGTCCTCCAGCCGCTCCGGCTCCCAGTAAACCGACAAAGCCCGCCACGGGGAAGGGCTCTGGACAGAGGGGCCGTCCGCCAAAACCGAAGCCGAGCGGGGGAGAGGGGAAGGCGGGGAGGCCCAAGAGGAGAGAGGGGGTCCACCTGCCCACGACCAAGGAGCTGGCCAAACGTCAGAGGCTGCCCAGTGTGGAGAACAGACCCAAGATCTCTGCCTTCCTCCCAGCCAGACAGCTCTGGAAGTGGTTCGGGAAACCCACTCAGGTGAGAAGGACTAAACTTCGAGAAACAATGAAAAAAAAAAAAAAAAAAACAACCCAAAATCACATCTTTTCCGATCTGCTGTCGTCCTCCAGAGACGCGGCATGAAGGGGAAAGCCAAGAAGCTCTTCTACAAGGCCATCATGCGTGGCCGAGAGATGATCCGCATCGGGGACTGTGCCGTGTTCCTGTCCGCCGGCCGGCCCAACTTGCCCTTCATCGGCCGCATCCAGAGCATGTGGGAGTCCTGGGGCAGCAACATGGTGGTCCGGGTCAACTGGTTCTACCATCCAGAGGAGACGAACCCTGGCAAGAAACTCACCGATAAGAAGGTCCGACCTTATGAGAAGAAGTTGTATTTTGTTCCATGGCACCATTCAAACCAGTGGTGTTACTGGTCAGATTTATTGAGATGGGCTTCGTTTTTTAAAGTGTCTGACTTTGTTTTCATCGTAGAACTGGGATCAGATGTGCGGTCAGTCTTTACCAGCGGCTCTGCACTCTTCCATCCAGAGGAAAGACTTCATGGAGGTGAGAGGAAAACAAATCCAAATATCTCTAGCTGCTTTATCCCACATACAATTATTGTTGAAGAAGGCAAAGGAGGAACTAAACGTGTGACAGATACTCAACAGAACAGAGGTCGAAATGCTAAGGCTGGAGCTAATGTGACCCTCGAACAAGAAATTAGACCAAGTTGAGAGAATCTGCAGTATTTTGTTGCAACGTGTACAAACAGGAAGTTTAACAAGTCCAGTCATTAAAACCAGTATGATCTACTACAGTATGATGATAGCCTCCTAGTTAATTGACTCGCCAGTCCTGCTAGGCTAATGCTAGCTTGTTTGCTGTCTGTTTTGATGAGAATTGCGATTAATTTGGCTGACGGCATATATCAATACGAGTCCCATAAGTTGTGTATCGACAAAATGTATGCAAAATGTAACTTCTAGCGTTTTGTAACATTGAACATCATAAACATTAATCACTAGTGTTTCCTCTGCTCTCTGAGCATTTCTCCCACGGGAGACGTGGATATGTGAGCTCACTGACAACACAGAGACAAACAGGAAGCAGCAGCAGCAGCAGCCAGTACAGTCTTTCTTTCACTGTAATCATTATTGTGAAGGGTGAAAAACGGATCTGTTGTGAGACGTGCGTTTTGAGATAGTTCATGATTGTTGAACGTTGCTTGCTCCAACGACATGAAGGTGATTTAAAACCAGAGAGTGGACCAAGAAACTGCTAACAGAAGAAGAGTTCAATAAAAAGGTATTTAAATGCTGTGATTGACTCACAGTTAGGTTCAGATCAAGACAAATAATCAACTGGTTGTAAATTTAAATATTCTATAAAGTTTGTACTCCTCTGTGTTCGTTGGCGAAATGTATCTATACTCAGCAAACTTGCTTTTGATTGGCTGAATATCTATTTCATCCCAGCATTCACCACCCATCACTGCTTCTCTTTAGAGATTGGTTTAGGTTTGGCTCTTCATGTTTTCCATTTGTTCAGCGCTGTTATTTCTTTTTTCCTTTAGTCTTCAGTCCTGATTCTTTGACATTTTCCTTCACCAACCTCTACGTTTTGTTTGTAGTTGTCCTGAAGGCCAGACTCATCTGACTGTGTTCTACCTCTGCCTTCAAACAGCTTTGTAATCGTTTTCATTGTTTGAGTTGGCAGCTTTCTTGTCAGGACTGTTTCCCGTCTATCAGCCAACAACAGCATCAGTACACTAAGGGAAAAAAAATTGATTTTTTTTTTTTTCAAATGATCAATTGAAAAAAAAATTTATACAGAAAAGTTAATTTGTTAGGATTAATTGTTTTATTTTTTTGGTGGGTGATTATAGTGCTGCAATAACAAAGGCTTTTGGAAAATCTTTCCTATTGCCTGCCCTCCTCTGCACGAGGCTAATGCCTAAATGCCAAATGTTTTACAGTAGCATGGAAATCGCTCCTCATTAAAACCCGTGTCTGTGTCGCAGCGCGCCCTGTACCAGTCGTCTCACAGCGACGAGAACGACGTGCAGACCATCAGCCACAAGTGTTTGGTGGTGAGCGTGGAGGAGTACGAGCAGATGATCCACACTCGCCGCTACGCTGACAGCGAGGACCTTTACTACCTGGCCGGCACCTACGAACCCACAACCGGAATGATCTTCAACACGGACGGCGTTCCGGTCATCTGCTAGACGAGCTACTGAAAACCAAATCACGACGCGACCTCATGGGGGGTTCGGCCCAATCTGCGGTCTGATCACTGATGTTAATGTTTTTTTTTTGTTTGTTTTGTTTTGTTTTTTCTGAATTGGAATCGTGACTCCATGAACTGAACCGCTCCCATACCATGATACACGTCAAAAAAAAAAAAAAAAAAGGGAGACTGTCGAGGACAGCTCTGACTACGGAGATGGGAAACACTACAGACAGTATTAAAATAAAAAAAAATGTTAAAAAAATAAAAAAAATGGACCGGTCTCCTGAAGCATTTGCACACACAGATGTGGTTATCCCACTCTGTTCATGGGGGACAAAGGCATGCTTACTTCCTATTGCGTGTAAATATCTCCCCTGCAGAAACAGACACATACTGTATGTATGCTCACAACGTGCACAAACACAATGTAAATACTTCCCCTCATGTAAGAGACGCAGGTATCTAGAGGAAAATCTAGGTGTTTTATTTTCGTGTGATAGATTTATGTCAGAGTACTTTTTTTCTGAAGAGGTAAACAGTAAAGAAGCTTTAACGAACTGTGAATGATGAAACAGGAGGGGGGCACATGCCTGTTCGCCCTGTGTGGGTGGTGGGGTAAAGCTGGTGTGATGTTGTGATTATGACGTTCCCGTGGTGATGTTACAGTCCTGTTACAGTCATATAAATGTGTGTATAGAACAGCAGGAGCAACAGACGCAAAGAAAGAAATGCACAGAGAGATGAGAGGTAGACTCCTACCGTCGCAATCCAACAGAAAGCACTTAGAAACACTTAAAAGTCTCGTTTCCTGATATTTATCCCCCCCGCAAATCCCTCGCCGTCCTCCTGACAATCGGAACTCAGGGCGAAGCATCCCTGCGCTGTTGAAATTTGACTCCCTCGTTAACTCAGGCTAAGGAGAGGAAGAGATGCGTCTTTGAAAGCCCTTCTCTTTTTTTTTTTTTTTTTGGGAGTTCTCAGTACTAATCCACACTGAAACACACTATGAAAGGAAACCAGCTGCAGTCTGAGGATCTTCTGTCACATTTGCCCGTTTTACGCCCACATTCAGCATCGCGTTTCTGCACTGCTGTAAATGAGTAGGCATGGGTCGGTATCAGATTCTCCTTGTTTAACCTTGGGCAGATAAAAAAAAACAAGGTTTCACTTTATTTAGCCCCAAAATGTAAGCAAAAAAAAAAAAAATTGTAAAACACAATATAACCGATTTTATTTAGAGCAGAAAAAAGCATTTATTCCAGCTGTTTCTAAAATAATATAACTTGAGTGAAGTCGGTCCCCCCCATCCACTTCAAATCAGACAAAATTGGTGTCAATAGTATAATATATGAACTTATAATTTTCTGTAACATTTATTACTTTAATTTTAATACTAACCCAAAATATAGAATGAGCAATCTCTGAATTTTTTGCTTTTTAATTATTATTGTATGCCATTTAGTTATTTGAGTAACACAAGTTTATGAAACCGATGTTAGCTGGTTAATAAGTCGGACCGTTTGGGTCGCTAGCCTACAATCTGCTGCTTTACAGCGGCAGCTTGCCAAATATAGCATGACTTACAATCCAAACTTCCTGTAAGTTTCTTCTCAGCCCTTGAAAGTTTTTCTTTTCTTATATTTTTCACCACAAGAGAGAGAAATGTCATATTCAATAAAGTTTTAACTCCATCATTACACGACACTTTTTAACAGATAAATTAGACTTGTGTTTTCAAACCAAACCAATGAAAAGCATTTTAATACAGAAATGTGAGTAATGAAAAGTATTTTTTATGCCCTCTTAACCCTAGTGCGTGCGAGGACTGAGGCAAACGTAGAGGACTGAGTTATACGTGTGTGGGGTCGGTTGGACCCCATTTCTGGACACAAGAGTTAAAGGTTATTTTCAAAATGTAGTTTTAACCTAAAAAAACGAGCCTCATATTCTAATTTATTGAATCATGTGTACCTGAATCTCAGCTCATTTTATTTCTCTTTGCAAATTATTCAAAATGTTTGTTAGGATAATGAACTGAAGTGAAATCACATTTAAATCTAAATGTTTGCAAACATTTGATGCAAACCCCCCCAAAAATTAAATGTAACATTTTGTATTTTAACATGAAAATCTAAAAATGTTGCCATTTTTAAAAATTTCTTATTCATCATAAAATGACACAAACCAACATGGCCTCCCGGGTTCTGGTAACTGGCCGATGCCTACAAGATGCGTGTGAATGGAGGCTGTGACGAAGTATTATTTTCCAGGAAAAAGGGATGACCTCCTGATCCCAATCTGTGTGTGGGAACATTGGCATCAGGAATCCCAGTCAGAGAGAATATTTTTCTTTAATGGTTATAAACACTGCAGTCAGTCCAAGATTCATCAAGGTCATGGCGCTGATTTTCACCGTGCAGCTGTCGAAACTGATTCGATCAGCGTAATTCAATTTTAAACACTCATTTTCCACAGCCAGGCTTCCTTCATTCCCTTATTTTGTCTGCAACCTTCAAATGTCCTATGTTTAGTGTTTTCTTTCTTGCTTTCTTTCTCTTCCTTTCCTTTTTTTTTAACGATTCAGCTTCTGCTGTTTTGTGGGAAAGTTCCTTCGCCATTTCTAATCGCACGCTTCCCTCCAAACAATCACCGTTTCCACATGAGTGCACTTTGAATAAGGAGACTCTGAGTCTTGTATTGTGTCTTCCTCGAGTATTTACTCCCACCGGTCACCCCTCTCTTTACCCAGGTAAACTGAACAGGTGCAGCCACATCCATCATAACACGTTCTAGTTGCTGGTTCTTTTAGCTGCCTGTGTTTTATTTTTCTATGTGCCTCATTAAATTGTGGGGTTTTTTTCCCTCCTGTTTTTTTTTTTTGTTTTTTTTTTTCAGTAAGACTGTTGAATGTCATGCTCAGGATCGTGAGTGCTACAGTTGTGGTCAAAAGTTTACATACACTTGTAAAAAATCATAATGTTATGGCTGTCTTGA